AAAGAAAAATACCGGATGGTTTCACTCATAGCAGGAGTATAATGGACCAGGTGGAAAATAACAAAAATAATGAACAACCATATACCAGAGACATTTTGTAGGGATGGAGTGGGGAATGGGATCAAAAACGGGTGGGGGGAGGGAAATGCACAGGATTATGGTGATGGCACATGGGTGACTTGGTGATGGGAAACCCCCGGGGATTACAATTGAGATGGAAAAAAAAAATGTACAAAATGATGTAAAAATAAACTTTTGTAATAAAAAAAGAATGAAAATGAAATAAAAGACATTCTCAATTCAAAAAAAGAGAACTTGAACAACAAAAAAAAGAATATGTAGTATATACATACATTGAAAGACTATTCAGCTATTAAAAAATGATGAACTCATTCCATTTGGGAGAACAAGAATGGAACTGGAAGAGAGGGGGTTATATTAATGAAGTAAGTCAGTAGAGAAGCAAAAGGTCAAACCAAACCAAACCAATAATAAACCCTGGAAATCTTTTTGCTGAATTGAAATTAAGTGAGGAAAAGGAGGGTGCAGAGGGTACCCAATGGACTATGGCATATGAATATGGATATCTAGGTGTATGATAATATAATCTGAAGGAGTGTGACCTATACACTTGAATCATAAACAGTGTCAATATTGCTTTCTAAAGGAAAATATTTCTAAGTAGTAACTGTGCTTAGTTATAAGCAGTATTAGCAAAATATAAATAAACCTTTTTCCAATTACTCTATAACATTTTATACAGACATAAATTTTCTTAATAAGAATGTATAAAAGTATATGATGGTCTAAGATGTGTCTGCTTTTTCTTTTTATAATAAAGGAAAAAGACTTATAAATGTATAAGACTTAGGGTAATTTAGATGTTGTTAGCCCAGTGTAGACAAAAGGACTTATTAGGATACTTTCTTCTCAAAAATGCCTATATTTAAAATATCTAATGAAAAAGACCAATAACTTCTCTTCTTTCAGTGAAACTAAAATAGTATGATGGTCAACCAGTGTTACCGCAATTAAGTAATACATTAATAAAAATAAAATAGTTTATGACCCTATGGCAGTCTGACTTTGTATTTCTAAATGTTAGTCAGGAATATTCAAATTAACTATTTCCAAGGTAGGGTAAGGAGAATCACTATTTTCCAGAAGTATTAAGGAGTCTTAGTTCAAATTCTGTTTATTTCCAGTAATAATCCCTTGTGGTTTTAAAATTTCAAAATTGTTGCTTTGTATTGTGGTTATAGATGAAAGAATTGAAAGAATTTTAGATTGAAAAAGCCTCTGAGGTAAATGTTTGTTTGCAGAGGTTTGGAAAATTATGCTGGCATTTGCTTTGTTTGATTTAATGAATATGTGTTTATAAATAGAGTTCTATTTTGAAAGCAGTTGAAAAAGACTTTGTGGTGGAATTTGTGGTGACAGAAGAAAAAGAACTTCAGTGTCAGGCAATTAGCATGGTGGTTTTGCCAAGCAGCAATGAACATGAATGGAAAGATGAGTTAAGTACAAACCTGTACTTCTGTCTGGGAAAATAAGTTGATTTCAGTGATTTTTAAATAATTATCTGTTAAGAGTTGAGGTTTAAAAGTTTTTGCTCATTTTTATTTTTCAAAAACTTATCTCCATGGTAGACTATTTTAGTAGTTAAGGATTAAGTCATGTTTATTTTAGTATCCCTAATTTCAAAAATACAAAGTACTCAGAATTTTTAAAGATTCCCTATATACATTTATAGTGTATACATGATTGTAGATAGCCATATATAAACATATAAGAAAAATAAATGTTGGTTCGCTATTAGTTTTATTAATTGAGAACTAGTAGTTATCATAAAACGTTATTCTGAATGGATATAGTTGTCAGTGAAATATCAATTTCTGCATATCTGCCTATAATTAAAAAAAAAATCAAATTGTAGGGAAGACTCATTTAAAGGTTATGGTACCCAAATTTGTCTTTCAGTCTAGTTATCAATTACTTAATATATTTTTCCAGAAATTTTACCCAACAGTTTATTGTAGAAGTTAGAGGAATTTAATAGCTTGAATTCGTGAAGGAAAAAGAAGATAATTAACAGGAATATTCTTCCATTGTCATAAAACTCTTTTTTATTTTTTGCTTTCTTTATAGCACAGAGAATTTAACTACCATCCATCTACCCTTCTCCTAAGTCATTAATGTTTATGAAGGTCAAAATGTAATATCATATATCATCTAACTCTTCCTGCTAAGTCTTATAATATTTTGCTTTTGTTTTATAAATAGTAGGAAGTAATTAATTTCAAAAGTCTGCATCAAATGACTGCAGTGGAAAATTGAGTCTAGTTTTTCAGTGACTTAAATTATAGGACTGAGTTCTATTAGTGAAGTACCAAGGCTAATTTCATGACACTTTTTAGCTAGAATGTGAAACAATTACAATCACAGATGCAGGTCCACATTTTTGCTGCTTTATATATCTCTATACACTCATACCACTAAGTTTAATCAATTTACCAAAAACACCAAGCTAATTTTTCAGTATGTCACTTTTTGTATAGCAAAGTCAGTAATTCATCATATACTGAATGCTGAGGAACACAGAAGATATAATCTAGGATACCAATTAACTTTCAAATTGTATACCTAGGTATCCAGAAATCCAACTTTATATTTATAGAATACCTATTTTAACAAGAAGGTATACTAACAATTAAAAGATCCTGAACATCTTAGTCTATACTGCTCATCACTGAGCTATTAAGCTCTTTCATTTCTTTTCTAGCTTCAAAATATTCTTGCAGGCGCCATTTTCCATCTTCTGTGTTCTTAGACAAGAACAGACTTTTTCCAAAGCTAATCAGACTCCTATTTTATCTTCTTACCTTTTATAAACCTTGCTTCATCCATCATTCTTTATCCCCTCTACCTACATTTGAATGTTGCTGATTTTTCCATCACCACAAAATGTTCACTGTCTCATTCTATTAATCTAATAAACTCCTGCCCCCCAAAATCAACTTTGTTAGTTAATACATTTTACCCTCAGCTGTATACCACTGAAATTAGGCTCCCATACGTAACTAGCAAACTCCAACATTGTAAACTCAATAGTTTTTCTGAAGTTTCTTACTAAACCTAAGAAGATCACAAGCTTTCATACAACACACTTTCTTAAATATTTTTAACATCCAATTTTTTTCATGAATATTAAATCAACCGTTTTTATTTTTTTTTTTGAAAACCCTATTCTTTATTTTCAAATGCATCACCTTAGTAGATACTGGTATTATCCCCTTTCAATGACATAATGATAATTTTTTAAATTAAGTCAGAGAAAAATATGAGTTTGTAAAGGCTTCTTGCTCTAAATTTAGTATTAAAAATTAGTCTAAGGAATGTTACCTTCAAAACCCTATGTTTGATACATTAAAAAAGGAATTTGTTCGGTATGTAAGCAATTCCCCCAAAGTATAAGCATGAATACACTTGACATAGCACATACAGAAACTGCACTAAAAATTAGTGATGAGTATCATCACCATTTTGATAACTTTCTAATTTATTTCTCTATTTCTGTCTTCACTACTTGCTTTACTCTCTTTCCAACAACCACAATATTATAAGCATCTCTCCATCTGCATATGCCTCAGTTTCTCCCTTGGTGGTTATCTTAAACTTAATTGAACTCACATGCTTCCTTCACTACTTCTAGGAATATGACTGCCCAATTTAATAAATCTTGTCTTCTGCAATTTCCAGATACTCATTTTTTAATGGTCTGCATGCCATTCTGTTTGCTACAAATAGCTCAAATTCATCATTTCTAATATAACTTCTATTGTTCCTTCTATCTTAAGCCCAATCTGATTTTTCTCTTCAATATGTATTCATAGTTTTATGGTTATAGTTCAGTCACTCATATTTAGGAAAATTTTAAAATGATCCTTGATTTTATCCTACTTGTTTCAGCCTAATAGTGGATGATTTCTACTTTCATAGTTTATCTGGTATCAAGCCTATCTATGTCTTTTATCCAGAGAAAACCTCACTCTCAGTTTTCCTTTTGTATTTCATTCATGTCTTAACTGAGTAAGTGGATTTCTTTGGCTCATGGTACACAAACATTCTTATTCAATACTTATAAAACATGTTAACAATTACAGAATTTACAGTCGACATCCTCCAGCAATTTCCTTTCATATGTTGCTATACAATTCCCTCACTATACTATAAAAGGTTTTCCAACAATTTTTCAAAATGTCACATTTTCACTCAAAATTTAAATAATTATTACTATCCCAATCTTACATGCACATTCTTTTAAGACATTGCCAGTTCTATCAATTCTTTTGTCCCATCTTTCCATGTTTTATAATAGAAATCACTAATTAAGTAATTTTCCTCACTATCAGTAGAAAATTTTTTCATCTCATGATATGACCTCTTGCCATAACCCCCGTAAGTCTTCACTTGTACCTTACTGGAAGCATGTATTATTACACTTTATGTTTTTATTAGTAATATAATATTGTTCTACCTACCTGCTTTTCTAGATTCTAAAATTTTTGAGAAAAGAACAATGCACCTGGTGGAACTTGCCATCAAATAGCTTAATTGTTAAATTCTATTAGCCAAGCAAAGCTTCACTAAAAAAACAAAAGACTTTTTAAAACAATCCCTAACAGACACATCTTTGTTCCTGCAATGTTTTTGTATAGATTAGGAAAAGAAATTGAAAACACAAAAAAGCCAGACCATTCCATTTGCTTGCCTCATATGAGCTTACATATAATGGGTAAATAAACCTACAGGAATAAGTAAAGCATTTTAAGCCACCAAGGAGAACATTACTATGTTACTAAAGTTTTTTGAATCCAAAATAATTAAAGGATTTTAGAAGATCTTGCTTTTATCCCTAGGATATGAATTATAAATAGAATACTGTGTAAAAGCTAGTAGTATGCTCTACCAGCAGAAAATTTCTAATTAAAATAACTTACCTTATAACTGAGATAACCAAGTAGTATTGTTTCAAGAAGACTTATCAATGCCACTGAAACCTAAAATATAAAAGTGTATCTTAATGAGAAAAATTCAATAAATTTAAAACATATATTATTGACTTTACAGATGTGCCTAGGATTATACATGCATCTATAGCTACATGTAGTTGCATGATACATACATATTGAGAGATAGGAGGCATTATGCTGTGCTTGACTCACTATAGATAGATGACAGGCAGCAAGCTGTCCCAGGACTAAAATTTAGCTTTTGTAATTTCTAATTTCCTTAATAGTTTGTATTTATTATTTCAAATGTAAGTGTGGAATAAGAATAGTAATACACACTGGAGTTTGCTTTATAGGTCCTATGTGTGTCTAAGTGTGTTACTAATACACACAACCACACACACAGCCACATATATCAAATAATTGCCCTTTACCAACACCACCACTATCTCTACAACATGGCAAAGATAGCACTTCCCTTCATAAAATAAAAGAATATAAACCTTAAACAAAATGAGACAGTAACACTGCTGAATATGAAATAAAAGAGCTATGACAATATTTCTTGACACTTTCAAATAACATTTAAATGAGTTTCATCACCAATTAACTTTTTGCATCTGGAAGTGCTATTTTCCATCCTCTCACATGAAATTCCATCCTTCCATCTACTCTCTGCATGCGTGCTCTCTCTCTCTCTCTTTCTATATATATATATATAATATATATACATATATTATATATATATATAATCATCACTGATAAACTACTTGAGTTATGACTACAACAGAAAAAGTTAACTAGAAAAATATCCAAATTATTATGTGCTAAACACTCAAAACACCTTGGAATAAATGAGTATAATCAAAATAAGCAAGAATAAACTAGACTTGACTCAGATAATTAATATATCTGATTATAGATTTTGACAATCTGCATAAGAAAGTCAGATACCCTGAGGTTTTCAGCTTTGCTGCTACTGGATTGATAAATTGGATTTAAGTGAATATTAAAGCATCAGGACAACAGAAAACATGAATGCACAGTGATACTATAAGTAAAATCTGTTCAGAAGGAGCAGGCATCTTGATGATAGAAAACTCACACCTCATGTTTTTCTCCACAGACCTCTAAATCGTATCACCCGTGTCTTTTCTATAGGTGCAAAGTGTTAGATGACCTTTAAAACCTTTTTCACTGGATTACTCAAAATCCTCTTTGGAAATAAGTATTATTACCATTATTTAAAATGCTACTATTAAACAAAAGCAATTTGAATAGATTGAAATATGCCTTTAGGTTGTGTGTTTATAAAAACATTATGCTATTTTATATATGTACCCCACTGAAGGATAATATAGGAATCTAGCTCAGAGACTAAAAAACCTCATTTTAATAAACATATAACTATTTGAAAGGATAAATGTAAGTTAATGACATTGCAATGAAAGTCAGTGTAATGAATACAAAAGAAATTTAATAGAAAATAGGCTATGAAAGATTCAGACATACAAAAATTTGGCTTTACATATTACAGTTACAAAACTTACATAATTAAAACAACTTATTATCACTAATAAAAAGTATAGATTCCTCAATCATTATAACTTTAAAAGACAAAACATTTTATTTTAGTTACTTATAAACAAGTGTCTTATAGTCTATTTCTTCCAGATTCAACACTCTTCTAAGCAATTAAAATTTTCATGTTAGTGACTCCATCCTTTAAATAATTTTCACTTTTGATAATGAAAACTAAGAGTAAAGGAGGAAGACAAGAGCAATGGAAAGTTGTAAAATGTTTGTTAGGTATGAAATTCAATAGAAAAAAGAACAGAAGCCAACTTTGGGGAAAAACTCAGTCATATAATTCAAATATGGGGTTCTCTCTTATATTTTGTATTTCTATCAGATTTTTTTTTTTTTGGCCAAGGGATACTTTTCATTTTAATGGCAATATTATCTGCTTAAGAGTCTGAGCTTTTACTATTGGTAATATGAGCTGTTCATTAGTTTCATTTGACATTCATTAACTGAGATCCTACCACCTTTCAATTGAGAATATGCAGTGAAAAATGCAAATACTGTTATGGCCTTTTGACTGGTGATTATAGCTAAATCTATCTAAAGATTATTTCTAAAGTAGAGTAAGGAACATGCTGTACCTTAGCCACTGATTTACTTCAGTTTCCTACCTACTCTCTAAAGATTTCTGAAGTCTTTTGAGAGAGAATGTTTGAGAAAATTCTCCAAAGGTAGAATGTAAAACTCACAAATATAAAGAAAGGAATGAAAATGTTAATCTAAGATGTGCAACAACATTATTTACATAACAAAACAAACTCAGTTTTAACATCAACAGTGTTCTCTCCAATAGCATTTCTCTATAAATAAGCCAATCCAAAAGTATTCAAATAAAGTAAAATTTATATAACCTGTAAGCCCCATAAAGGAAGACTTCTGTTCACCCAAAAGATATGAGACCTGTGAAAAGAATAAGATGTTAGTTTAAAATTGTGGAAAATGCATTCATTTTGCATTTCATCCAGAGCTTAAGTTATTTAAATAATGCTAACATAAAAAGAAGACAAAATACCAAAATTAAATTTAGAAAAATATCTATATTACTTAATTTCTTCTCTGGTAATATGTTTTTTTCAGTTATCATGTTAGTAATGAGTGAAAAGTGAATGGGGTCTTATTTAAGCAGTAATAATGGGAGAAAAGCCTCATATCCCATAAATTCATCATTGAAAAATCAATTTTCAGTCTTAAGTAACTTCTAACAATTGTTATATTTAAAGCTGTTAAAATTATGACAATGCAATTCTAACTGTGTACATAACCTGGATAAATAGCTTTAGATTAGAGTACATTAAAATTTTAGACTTGGATTTTTGTAAAATATTTTATACCATTAAAAATACTCATGACTAAGTGACCAAATACTGTGCTTAACAAGGAGTAACAGCCCTTAATATCTTTAAAAATCTTATTATCTCTGATGTTAAAACGTGCTTATCATCTGCAAAGAACATCAGAACATTCCTCATGTCACACTTGTAGTTTTCCACTCTTCATAAACTATCCTTACCTACATTTGTGTACATCTGAATCAAACGGGAGTTATTCTCAGCATTTTATTTGACAAAAAAATTACACTAAGGGTCACAAAGTGAAAATAAAGACACCATAATAGCAAACAGGATAGAAAAAACCTACTCTCCGGTTAGAGTGATGAAATATTTAAGGCACCTCATAAATTAGTGTGCATTTTTAAATCCTTAAGTCATTTGGGGTAACATCAATAACAAAAGAATAATAAACTCTTCAAAATTTTGTTTAAAAATCTGTAAACTTTAAAGAAAAATAAATCAGTTACCATATTAGACTACTCCATAATTCCTGAAATGATACATGTATATGAAGTGATAAACATCTTCGATGGTTTCAAACTAAACCTGTGACACTTCTGGCCTTCTCATTTTTTCACAGCTCAATCAATGGCACCAAATCTCTTATGTTAGGTTACCCAAAAGCTTGTGCATCATTTTCAATACTTTCCTGCATCTGCAAATACTCAATCCATTATTCAATAAGCCCCTTCAATTATTCCCAACAAAAGTCTGTAGAATTTATCTACCTACCATTATCTCTACTACAACCACTTTAATCGCAACTACTTTTTTTTTTCATACTGGACTCTTGCAAAAGTTGACCAACTACGATCACACACCTCTCTTTGCCTTATACACCTTTCTCCAAGTTATTCTTAAACTGGTTATCTTAAATGCAAGGTATATCACAGTCCCCACTGTGTATTGATTTTGCACTTTTGTCAAGATAAAGAACAACAAACTCTTCATGCAACTTTTTGCTTTTTCCTTTTACAGGCCACTTTACATGTTTTTCTGCATTATTTTCATTTTAATTCTTTCTCTAGGGAAACTTCTCTGGGGCTTCCACTTGATCACTACAGTCATCAAATCTTTTGGGCCATGTCACTTTGCCATAGTCTCCTACCACTCATCTCAATTGTAATTTTACATTTATTTGCATGTGTGTTTCTTACACCAAATAATTCTCCTTACTAAACTAAAATTTCTGTAAGATGCAACAGTATCTACTCTGTCCAGCACTGAGTAAATGCAGAAGTGGTTGATAAGCTCTGCAACACTGTCCTTTCCAAAATATATCTCAGTGACACTGGGAAATCTGACAACAAGCTATGTAGGAGTGTAGAGTGATGTGTGCTCTGCTCTATAGACACTATGATATAGTCTCTGTATAGTTTTCACAGATAGAAAAATGACACGTTACAAAACTAGTAGTTCAGAAGATCTCAAGTTAAGGAAAAATACAAAATAAAATGTGACTCTGCTGTTTGAGTATTGCCAAGGGAAATTGGTAATTAACATGGGCTTACTAAAACTATATTAAACTGCATATCCTTTGATCTAGGATGTTGCTTTGTTAGGTCTTGAAATATCCCAGATTTTAAACTTCAGTAAGATTTAAAGAAAAGATTTTGAGGCATAATACTATACCCCAAATACTATACTAAAGCATTTTCTACAATTCTTTAATATATAAAGTTCAGTGTAAAGTGAGCACTCCAATAGAATATGTCCTTTTCCTATATACTAAATACTAATTTGGATACATAGAAAAAAAATTAATTCTAGCAAAAAACTAGTGCACAAACTATCATGAAATAGACTGATCAAGAAAAAAGAATGAATATCTGTATATTCCAAGATAATGTCCAGAACAAATGACCACTGAAAACTAATCCATAATACCTATTGAAGCTTCAATTCCACTGACAAAAAGGACTAGGAAGAAAGAAAATCAGGATGGGAAGATTTACTGCTGTATTATTGGTAGCCAGAAAGTGGAATCTATCTCAATATCCAACAATAAAAGAATTAAAGTAGCCTCATCAACAACAACCAATGTGACATAACAAGATAAAAGGCACTGATAACAATATGTATATTACTTTACCAAACTATACCAGTAGTATTTTATATTTATATATATATTTACAGAGGGAGAATTTACAAGATTGGTCATCTAAATTACTAAAAATACTTACTTCTAGTTGTTGCAATTTTAGGAAATTTCTATTCCCTTTACCTTGCCAAATGTAATCATATTGTAATAATCATGATTCATTAATAAAATTACAAAAATAAGAATAATTTTCATATTTTTTAGAAAAGAAAAAAGTTAAACCAACAAAAATCTAATAAAATATCAAATGTATCATTTCAGTTATTCAGTGAGTACATTAACAGGTGAATAAAGGAATAGAAATATCTGAGGATAGAACTGATATGAAAGAATCTGTTGGTCACAAATGCAGTTGGAACTCAATGACTAATATACTCCCCCAAAATTGCAATCTTGTATTGTAATAACAAATCATACTATCCTAAACCAGAGAAGCAAACTATAAAAATCTCCTTGCCAGAACAAATGGTGAGAAATGACTAGAAGGCATGGCAGTAGATCCACATTTCAAAGACGTAAAATATTTGTGTTTAAGATCAAGGTGACTAGGATACTAAAGCTTGGTAGTTTTGAACAACGTATTAGGTATATTTTTCAATAAATCCTTTCAAAATACTTGATACAAGATTTAAGATCCAACCATCAGTGATACTGTAGAGAGGACAGAATGCCTATCTTTGGGAGGATGGGTTTTTAGAACGTCTCTATCACACAAGTGTTGGATGAGGCAGCAATGGCTTTGCACCAACTTTCATTCTCTCCTTCCACAGTAAAGAGTTGAGTGCAAAAAGTCATTTGTCAGCCAAAGGCTACATTTCTCAGTCTGTGTCAAAGTATGATAATGTGACATTCTCACATGAGCCGAGTATGAAACACAAGTAAAAGTGATGCTTGCTATTTGTTAGCCAAGAATTTTAGGAAGTGTTATGTGCCTTTGCCATGCTCTCTATCTAACTGAAAGCAGACATCAAAGAACTCAGAAATATTAGCACAGACAGCATATAGCAATAAAAAGGAAGTGGGTAACATACACTATACTATGTTACTGTGTGTGTGTGTGTGTGTGAGAGAGAGAGAGAAAGAGAGAGAGAGAGAGAGCACATATGAAGAAAAGGTCACAATGACTAGGAATAGCAGCTCTAGACTCTCATAAACCTTTTTTTGTTGTTATTTTTCAGATTATATGTTAGAATATTAGTATCACTTTATACCATAACCAATATAAATAACAGGAAAAATAATCTCGTATTATGACATTCACTCCTATTATGCACCATCCTATATTTAGTCCTATTAAGCACCAAACATTTGATGGTTTAGTTTAATATCTTCTTTCAATAGTTGTTATTCTAAAGAAGAAATAATCTTTAAAACTGAATGTTATTTGAATACACCTACTGCTGCATCAGACATAATTTTATTTATTTTAGTGTTTAAAAAGAAACCCTAGTTAGTAATTTCATTACCAATCACATGTTGAAATGACAATATGTTGATATATTGAGGTTACATAAAATATAATGTTAAGGTTTATTTTACAATTCTTTTTACTTTTTAAAACACAGACCCGAGGAAATTTTTATATTATTTAATTTTAACTACATGAATACTTAATTTATCTATTTTCAGCAAAAACTACTGTTAACAAAATCAAGGCATAGAAAAATGGAAAAAGGTTATTTGCAACACATATTTTATCCAAATGGCTTACATCCTTAGCTTCACTTTAGCAGATTTACTGGAATATAATTCATGTATCATGTATACAGTTTACTAATTTAAATTATGTGATAAATGTTTTTAATATATTTACAAGTTTGTTCAATCATCACATTTCATCTGAGAATTTTTTATCACCTCATAAAGAAATTTTGTACATATTAAAAATCACTCCATTTCCCCCCGAACTCTCAACCTTAGGGAATTTCTACTTTCATTCTTTATAATCAGGTATGATTTTAAATGCAAATCCAAGTGTCATGAAACATAAATATATTCATGTGCTTCTTATTTTTGTCTATATCACTTGATCTTATAAATTAATAATCATTTTGACAAATTTTCAAGTGGTAAGGAATGAGTAAATTTTGACTCATGGTGTAGAACTGTAAGCACCAGCAGGCAGTGACTCAATGCTGATGGTCCATCTCCCAATGAAATTCATAACTACACACTGGAGGTGTACTTCCTGTCTGACACCTTTAAGTCATACTAAAGATGTTGTAAACAACAGAGTTTCTCATTTGCATAATTTCATACACTGACAGTGAACTTTTTTCATAGCCTTCTATGTGTCCATGATTTGCAACATTTTTGTATCAGTGTTGACTCCTGGAGGAACTTAAAACTAAAGTGAAACAGTACAAAGTATCTGCAGCTTTATTATGTCAGAAGCTCTAATTAAATAAATCTCTATGTTGAATTAGCCTCATTATTTTTAAAATAGAGCCTGTGCCCATAAAGGCCACTTCTGTTTTTCATTAACCAATACTCCATAGAAAATGGGAACTAAACAGAACATTGTATTCAAAATGGAGCCATGAGTTATTTTATTATGTTTTTTAATGGCAGTAATATGATTTTTCAAATGTATATCCTCTATAATTATGGTTGAATATTCTTAGTAACATGCCATAAAAATTAATTATAGGAAATTTTGTTTCTCCTAATGTTTTCAAATAATACAATTTTATTCTGCAATCACCCACCAATGCCCTTTAGCCAGTAGAAAGATGCCGTCATGCCTCATTTTATGATTTTCAGGTCTTCCCATTGTACATTTTATTAATAAATCACCAAAGTTTAAAAACATCTTGGTATGGTCTTAAAATTTTAATATGAACCATTTTTATTACCACACTGACAAAAAATGTAATAGATGTAATATGCACTGACATCTCTATGTAGAGGTCTTCAATCATCTTAACAGTACCACACTATTACTGAAACTGATGAGCACAACCTAATAATTCAGCAACATTCATGACCCTCCAAGTCCCAGGCTAAGTATGGGAGTTGCAGAAAGCAAATACAAAAGAGTAAGAATATGGAGGACTCAGAGACGTGAACTGTAATATCAAAAGCAATGTATTAAATGTTGCAACAGAAGTTTGAGCAGAATGTCTGAAGAATCTTCAGAAGCCATGCTTAACCACAAGTAGAACTGTATTTGAGATCACACTGTCAAATAAGAATTTCAGTTAAGTGCTAACCAATCTAATTTTACTTGGAAAGTACAGGTGTCTAGAAGTGGGTTTAAAAAATAGGGCTTAAGGCAGGTGTGGAAAACTCCTCTAAGAAGAGGAGGCAGAATTTCAAAGGCGTGGACACAAGGAAAGCAGAACATGTATAATTTGCTTCATGTAGTTTGGCATGTCTGAAATAGGAGGTTGGTGAGGGGAGGTATGTACAAGTCAAAACAAAAGGAATCTTCAGTCACTCCTTTAGTCACTTGTTCATTCAATAAATGATGACATATGCCTTACTTGTGCCAGACTTTGAGAATTCAGACAATCTATGTCATCTTGGGGTACTGCAATATACACATAATATACAGAAAAGAAAATAGCAAGGAAAATGTACAATATATAACAGAGATAATGGTAGTGCAGAAAAACTAAAACACTTTTTTTTAAGTATCCAAGAGAGTCTTATGAGGAGATGACAACTTCTAACAGAATGTTTAGATAAGGTGTCACTAAAAATAGGATTTTGAGTAAAGACCTATGGAAGTGTGCCTTATGTTACTTGGTGGAAGACAAATATCAAACAAAGAGACAGAAAAGAGGCTGATGAGGGTAGAGCAAAATGGGTGTAGGATGAGGAGTTATCACAGTGGATAAAGGGATCTTTAGGCCACAGAGGGGTCTTCAGGCCCCAGGAGCACTCTGGCATTCAGATTCATGTTTTAGAGAACTCCTGGCTGCTACATTAAAAATATACTAATGAGAGCCCTCCTGGTGGCACAGCGGGTTAAAGCACAGCACTAAGAAGCTAAAGCCGCTTCCGCATGAGTTCGATTCCCGCCTGCCCTGGAGGTGACCCACATGGCTTGGTAGACCTCTCCTGACATGCCCGCTGCTCCCCTAGCAGTGCATTTCATCAGTCGGCCTGTTCTGTTCCCCACTCTGTCTCTGGTGAATCCTCTCACCACCCCTGCACCTCTGGCCTCTACCCCAGTTCTGTATGTACAAATAAATAAATCTTGCAGGCTAATTAGGAGGACTACTGCAGAGATTCAGGTGAGAAAAGGTAGCTTCCACCACAGCAGTGGCACTGAGAAGTGACTATACGATGACTGTATCTTGAAAGGAAGTAACAGAATTTTCCAAAGGAGCTGCACATGCTGCAGAGTCTGAGACAAAATGACTCCACAGCATTTAGCTAAGAAACTGTTAGGGCAGAACTGTAGATCAGTTGTTATCAGCTGAAACATGGAAGGCTGTAAGGGGAGCAGGGTTTGGGGAACTCAACATCCCTTCTTAGTGATATGTAAGAAGACAGAAGATGAATGAAACATGGCAAGTTTGAAATGTCTATTAAATACACAAGAGGAGAAACTAAATATGCCAGAAGAATTTGAAAGAATGGGAAGGTGAGTTAAATGGGGAAAAGCATGAAAGAATTATTCTTGAGGATCTCAAAGCAAAGGCAAATATGAGCAAACTTCTGCTTTAATGGTAAAGTGGGAATAAAAGAATTAAATGTATACTGGAAGGTTTTCATACTGAAAACAACTTCTTTAATGCCAGAAAACAGTAAGAACTCCAAAATATACAAAGTTTTACAAGTTGAAAATTCCTGAAAGTTGCTGAATTTTGCTTTTCATGACTATATCTTCAATTTCAGCAATACGACTTGTACATGTAAGCTAGTCAAACTGATGACAGAGTCTATTCTCTTTCTTTGAATAAATTAATTTTAAGGTATCCTAAAAATATATTAATAATAAAATTTCATTTGGCAATCTTTATCTTCTCTCCAAACTCTTTATTAAGTACATTTATTTTCACAATCTAAACATGAAGGGCAACCAATTCATTTACATTTATATTATGTTCTGACTTACTTTCCATTTTCCTTACTATTTTTTATTTAACTTTCATAGGGTGAGCCTCCACATGAAAATAACTGTACAAAAATTAGCCCTCATACTTAAGTTTTCTCCATTGAAAATTATTTTTAAATGAGTAGAGTGGACAGGAGACCAAGAGATGATGTAAGAATTATTAAAGCCATTACATGCTCATTAAATTTCTCTAGGATAGAGTCCAAAAAGGAACACCCATAAATAAATACAAATGCTATTTTATAATGGCAACACAATAATGAGTAAGTATATTAAATCGGTAAGTCATTTAAATTAAATAAGATAAAGAACTACACAAGCTAGTTATGATTTAATATAGCCACTGATCCCAAAAAATGCCTGCGTATCTCTAGTCAAGAGTAAAAACTAGAGTATAACTGAAAATTTTTACAAAGCTAGTATACAACAGAGTAAACCATTTGGAATATAGGTCAATCAGAATATGTAAAGCAGAAAGTCTTTGAGTTCCTAAAGAAACTAACATATACAATTACTAGCAGTACTTTGGGTACTAATTACAAAAATGTTATGGATTATTGGTGAGTGCTAGTATTTGGCATTAGAGAACAAATAAAAGAAGAAATGCTTGAAAAGAAACTAGGATCTTATTCATGCATTATCTGAAAACTGAATCAAATTACAGTGACAACTGCCAAAAACATCCTTCAAGAAAACAAATTCTACATGACACACTCTAAAATTACATGTAAAGAAAACAAAAGAATATTTGTGAAGGTCAAAGATACCTTACCAGTCATTTCCTTGTGAAGGGTTTTCTAGCAGCACTCTGATTATGTATAACAAGCAGCTTAATAATTTGAGTGAAAAATTGAACAGTCGTATTCTTAGGCCTTTAAACAAACAACAAAATTGATGTTCATTTGAACTTAGTTCACAAAGATTTAAAAGAATTTTTAAAAAATCAACTTTCAATACAGCACTTAAATGAGCTATTACAATAGGTCTTCATTGTCTAAACTCTGAAATTCTAGGTAGCTGAATTTTAATTAGGTGAATATTGAAACAAAAAGTGATACAGACAAATTGCATGAACTCTAAATGACAATGAACATGATACATGAAAGTAAATCTAGGTTTGAGCATTCAGAAGTCACTAAAATCATATTCAGCCAAGACTGGTTCAAATATGCATAGATGTTTAAGTATTTCATATATCAATGAATTTTGTGATCAGTTTTAGCTAGCAGGAAAATCTAGCTGCCTGCAAATTGACACATGAAGTTGTAAATATTGTATTTTCAGAATGCCTTGCATATTTGATTATACAGAAATTAAAATCATATGTATAATTATATATTACACATTTAAATGTAACTCAATGTACATAATTATGCAACAGCATGCTAGGAATACTGACACACACATTCACATTTTACTATTTGATAAGTTAAGTCATACTTTTCGCTTTATGTAAAATTCCAATGAAATATTAATAATCTGTGTGAAATTATACTGTCATGAATGAATATCTTTTTTTTAATATATATGTTTACATCATTCTTCATGTTTGTACAATGCATGCTTTTTCATCTTGGTTTTAACTCCCAGGGAGTTAAATTCACCCGGGTGCTATCAGCACGGTCCTGTGTGCTCTTCCACCCTTGTTTTGATCCTATTTGAAGATATCTTTGAATCTGTGTAGATCACAGTTATACAATCTGTCTAATTACGATGAAGAAGAGCAATTAAGGTTAAATAAGATACTTAAAATCTGATTAATAGAAGCATTACTTTTTCTGTAACTATTAGTGGTATATGTGATTTATACATTATGATTAAAATTTTGAGAAAGGTTTTCCAAAAATTATTAATAAGATCTGGGAATAAAATGCCTTTTTTTAAAAACAAATCTGCTATATGTAAATATACTTTAGGTAACATTTCTTAAAAGCAAAATGTTAATGTTTATAATTGTGTCATTTTCCTAGGATTTCCTTTTGAAATACCAATTACATTGGTATTGGTGTTAGCTTCTTTATAAAATCTTTTAAGCTAATAAATGTACTACACTGATTTTACAGAATTGGTCTCTTCAAATGACTGCTTGGTTAAAGCTGGTTACTGGCAAATATTCAAGTAATGAACCTAACTTTTCTGGTTTGAAGAAAGATAGCATAGTTAGTACTAAAATCAAGGAAACCTATTAATATGATGTGACCGCTTCAGTAACATCTTCTGTAGAAATTCTAAATACACGGGATGGAGAGGCATTAACTATTATCAGCCTTAAACTTGACACCATAAGCAGCTATCCAGTGTGCCTTAAATATTAAAATACTTCCAAATGTCAGCATTTGAAGTAACTTCTCACAATTCAGGCTTTTCTCTGGATACTTGCGTATGCACAGTTTAACTTAGACCACCCCCAAGAGAATTAAGGAGTCAAAATCCAAAGAGAGCAAAGTCTAACTCAAACTAATAATCAAATTCTGCTTTGTTTGCTGAGATTTTAAACAATGATATTGTGTGTGTGTGCACATATATAGTTTCATTATATGTAAGAAATATCATTAACTCTTTAATATTGAAAAAAACTTACAAATTCAGTGGTTAGGCTGATTTCATATTTTCTTCAAGTTGGAATGCTTCCCAAATTTGTCTTACATCACTCATTTAGATATTAATGCAGATTGTCTAATTAAAGTCTATTAATCAATGCAGAATTTATAGAATTTAAGCTATGTAAGAAATCTTAACTGTACCAGATGTGACAGTGTTCTAATTTTTATTTCCTGGTGTCCAAGTATATAAATTTCATATAAATATTTTACAAAAAGCTTGCATAGTTAGAATTTTTTCAGGAAATATATACACAAACATGTAGACAGTGGAATAAAGTGAATGACTTACTTGACCTCTGATTTTTAATGAAAAATAACTTCAGTCTCTCTTTAAATGTATTTTCATTCATATAGAACTCAACTTGTACCCTGCAGAAATAAAACAGAATAAAAATATAACTAAAGACCAGTAGTTAGAAAAGAATTAGCTATTTAATATACTATGTACTTTTAACTTGAATACAGAAAACTGAGTACTGAATTTTCAGAAAAAGTGACTTTCTATTTTTTAAAATATAATCCATTAAAATCATATACTGTTAATTACATTATCTGTATTAGTGAATACGAAGAATGGTATGGATGATTCAAAATAGCAATAATGCAAAGTCTTTAATATGTATCTTTGAGATAATCTTGAATGTGTATTTTACCAATTTTTCCTCTTATAAGAATACATATGTATTTTTAAAAATCAGTATGAATCACATATAAGAGAAATGTCAATCCAAACCAGAATGAATTATCATTTTAACCATGTGAAATGGCTTATATCAAAAAGACTGGAAACAACAAGTGACAGCTAGACTGTAGAGAAAAAGAAGATCTCGTTCACTGTTGGTGGGACTAGAGAGTAGTAGTCCTAAGAAAGACATTATGGAGTTTTCTCAAAACACTAAAATAGATCTAACATATGGCCCAGTAATCCCACACATAGGTATCCACCTCTAAAATGGACAAACACTAATTTGAAGGGATCTACAAATTCCTTTGTTAATTGCACTATTATTTACAAAACTCAAGTTATGAAAATAACTGATGTGCTCAAAAATGGATGAGTAGATAACAAAGACATGATATGTGTGTGTGTGTTTGTGTGTGTGTGTATACACAAAGGAATACGACTCAGATGTAATGAAAAAGATGAAATGTGGTCATTTGTGATAACATGGGTGGAACTGGAGAATACACTAAGTGAAATAAATCAAAAAAAGAAAGACAGTAGCTAGATGATTTCACTCAAATATGGAGTATACATAAATAAAGACAAAATTTAACCAAAACAAACCCTAGAAATCAGACTGCAGATTTGAGGCTACCAGAGGACGGGTTGGAATGGCGTGGAGAGCACAGGGGTGACAGTGCCCAGTGGAATATCGGGGAGGACTATGGTGGTAGGTATGGTACGGTAACATGTACCTGAAGATGTGTGAGCCTAGACCTCTACGTCAAATACTGTGTTGTAAACCAATGTTACCCAAAAAGGACCTGAATATTATGGGGTGGGTCTGAAAACTTATTTTTAACAAGGTGTTTCACTTCACCTTGAGATTATTTGGGTCACCACTTGAGACACTTTTTCAGCTTATTATGGCCATATTAAAATATACATGGGCAGAAAAGTAGTACTAATGACAGAATATTAAAATCACCAGGTATGTTATAAATCAGAAAGATCCATTAAGAAATTGAATGTTAGATATTTAATCCACCACAAATTACATCAGGCCTATAAAACAGCAACATTTAAAAAAAATACATTTGTTTGCTCCTCTAGACACTAGGAAAAGCTCTCAAGTGATGGGCCTAATTAGTATTTTCAAACTATTAAGTGAAATGAAAAATTGTGTTCAGAGCACACCTACTATTTGATAGTCAAATTAGAAATAAGAACATTTTTGCAGGAGTACTCATGGAAGTTAAAACTGGAGAAAAAAATTATCATATGATGATACTAATGTGTTAGAGAAGGTTTTTTACTACTATATGTTGTATTTTCAAGAAATTCTGTGAACATTTAAAAAGCAGTTTCTTGTGCCATAAAAGCAAAAGGGTTTTGGCGTCACAAATCGTTTTCTCTGCTACGCCTTCTAAAAGAATTGAATGCACTCTAGCTTATCTTTAATCACCTTATATATAAACCACAAAAAGACAGAAAGTCAGATTCTCTTATTTCTCCAGAAAGAAGTCACAGTAACTGCAATGCTACCTTTTATCCGAACACTTCAACTTACAGGCCAATGTTCACGCACATAAGCTACAAAAGCGCAGGTCCACATAGGCAGACACAAAACTTCACTAGTATCTTAGAATTTACCACTGGGTCTGTGTCCTTGTTTATCAAATGAAAAGGCAATTCATTTTAAATAAAGTAACTGCAATGCAGATATCAAGCTAAATTAGTTCAAATTTGCTACGGATACAAATGTAAATTTGAGAGGACACATCTATTACAAAAGTAACTCAGCAAAAGCCATTTACATTTGTTTCCTCAAATTATCAAATTTAGAAGACTGACTATATTCTTCAGATAATATTTGGAGTTCAGTAAGTTAGTATTGGATATATAACAGAGATGTATTTCTTAAGTGAAATGAGATTTCACATGTTATGTAAGACATATTAGACACTAACTACTACTGACTAAATGTCTGAATGAAATATATGTTTTTTCTCTAGTATGAAACTTAAGGACTCTGATTTCACAGTATAGTAAAAGATAAAAGGATATACTTTTTCTTCCTTAAGTTGTAACTATTCAGAATGCAAAAATTAATGCTTGAAAGTTTTCTTTTATTCCAATTTGTTCTACCTTGTAAATGATGACAATTCCCTACACATTTTTGACTTTCCCCCTCATTTTTATCAATTTAGATTTATTTGTGCTACTATACCATGATTTAATAACTATTTAGGAAAAAAATTATTCTGTTATTTTTTACAATATTGCTATGAAGGGTAAGGTAGCCCTAGATTTATTTTATAGAACAAGAAACTTCAACAACAACAAAAAACCTTAGGTTCAAATAATCTTAGTGCCCTACCAAAGTTCAAACAGCGTAATAGGACAGAATTGTTTCATTCGTCTGTCCATTCCTTCCTGCCATGCACCTCTTCTCTTCAAATTGGCTCTCCATTATTAAGAGAGTGCTAGGTCATTTGTTAAAATATTACAAAAGCATTTCAAACACCAGGTCCATACAGAGAAGTGTTTATGCTTACTAATGTATACCAAGTTCCTATCTTTTTAAAAATACTCACTTCTGGGAGGCTCTGTGATAGCACAGGGGTTAAAGAGAGAGCTATCAGGTTTTTGACAGCCAGCGACTGCAGCAGGAGTTCACACACCAGCAAGCCAGGGAGCTGGGCCACATGGAGCAGCAGACCTCTCCTGTCTTTCCATCTGCTCCCCTCAGTAGTGTATTTCAGTCAGTTCACCTGTTCTGCTCCCCCCTTTGTCTCTCATGAATCCTCTTGCCCCCCACACTTCTGGACTCTACTCCACTTCTGGTATGCATAAACAAATAAATCTTTAAAACTGCATTGGATTAGTAAAATAAAATAAACTCCTAAACTCTGATAATTAAATTAAAAAAAAAACCATTCACTTAGTCTTATAAAACAAATTATTTAAAGAAGCCTACTATTGAGTTTTCATCTTATAAAATGGGTCACATCAATTCATGCTTAAGAGTTTCCAAGATTTACTATCTTATGTCCAATTTTTCCTATATGCACAAATACAACTTTATATATTTTGAAGTCCCTCTTGCGATATTTCTTAATTTCATTTTCTAAATCTTTTTATAACAAGGTAAAGATGAACTCTGATGGACTTCAACTACATCATCTGAATTTTTAAATAAAATTTTACATGCTTTTTATTGTAAACTATTAAAATGCACACAACACATCCTCATGGACATAATACACACACATATAGATGTGCCTTAATATACACAGTTAAATACATAACAAGTTTGTTTACTAACATAATGGTAATGAGGAAAGAATCTGGGCACTAATCATTACCAATTTTCTTTCATTATGGATAATGCTGATAGTCACTTAATAATTGTATTTATGCACCTGGCACTCTTTGGTAATCACGGCTTGTAGGTAGCTGTAAATACATAATCTTGAGGTTTCCATGGTAAAACACATTACAAGTGAACCCAAAAACACTTTTGTATTCAAGTCATTCTTCAGTTATAAATCTCAAGTCCTTCTTGTGCAATGGTCATTTGCAGGTTCCATTCTCTGTGCTTACTCACTTCATATAAAATATTGATTTTTAAGTAACCCAGATACAACTTAAAACTAAACATGAGAAGCAAAATAAGGGTATATTTTTTTCATCTTTAGGTTCCAAAGAAATTTTGCTCTTCAACCCCTTATCTGCGTGAAGGAGGGCCTGTCTGACTCAAATGTTTAGAAAGGAAAAAAGAAAAACTGGAAATAACAGAACATATATTTTCCTTTATCCTGGTAACTATATAAAAAAGTAGCAAAAATACACAGCATTTAGGTTTGAATAAATTGTTTCTGGTAAGGATTACATATCCTTACTTCAACCACCTCAAAAAAAAAATTGTCAGAAGCTTTAAGATCATTACTACTTTTTCCTCTTACCCCATGTCTACTATTCTCATTGACTATACACACATGCACACACACACACAGCTGCGAAGATAAAATACATTCAGTACATGACATATACTTGCCTAAATGTACATATATACAGACAATCCTGTATACAAACATTCTGAAAATATAAAAGTTGTTAGCCCCAGAAAAGTTTATACACTTATGTAATACAATTATAGGCAGTACAAGCCCATCACAAATGTAATGCCTTCCTAGTCAAAACTCCTAACAAATATATGCAAATCCTCTTTTCTTTTTCTATCTATATACAAACCAATGAAACTATGGAAAAGCCCCCATACTTACTCTTAAGCTCTTTGAATATTGCAGAAATTGACAAAACCTTAAAAGGAAATGTTATATTTCTATAGTCCAGGCCTGGGAGGAATGGCATGGTTAAGCAGCAAATCCAATTTAGGAAATATGTGTGTTTTAAAGTGGGGGACCACTGGGTTTCAAATAATCAGATCATAATCAACAGTTACTACTTGTTATTATGCACTTGAAACTGGAAACTGCGTATGAAACTGGAAATTATATCAAGACACTCACATAGTGAAAGAAGCACTTTGCATATTTATTTATTATTTCCCAGGGATGACATAGGATTTTAAAATCAATTCTCCAAGGAGTCTATTCCAATTAGCACCACACAGTGAGAGGCCATATTTCAGTAATGACTCAGGTCACTGAGACATAGCTGTTTGCATAGAATTTCTCTT